GGCAGAGATAGGTCCATAGTTACTATTGAACTTGAATAGGAAGTCATATACTGGCAATCTGAATGTGACCTTAAAATTGACCTTTGACCTACTTTACACCATGAACTGAATTTTGCAAATTTTGCTTCCCTTTTATCTCCAAAACTGGCAGAGATAGGTCCATAGTTACTCTTGAACTTGAATAGGAAGTCATATACTGGCAATTTACTGTGACCTTGAAATTGACCCTTGACCTATCTTACGAAGAACTTTAATTTGATTGTACCATATATATTTTTTGCAAAAGTTTAAAAATTCTTGTTGATTGCATTTTTACAGCTTGTCAAGCACAAAACTGGTGGCTGTGTCCCTTATTTTGTGTATGTGGGGGTCTATATGAATGCGCTTGCTCCAGCTGGTGGTACAATATTCGGAGGCGGTATCGCCTCTCTGATCCTCTAGTTATTATTATTATTTGCAGAAGTTGTTAGATTTTGATTATGGTGAAAGTGATGATGAAGAAGAAAAGAAACCTTCAGTAACGCCAAATAATTCAGGCATAGGGTAAATTGATATTATTTTTATTGTGGTATGGACAATTATGTGTTATTACGTATTTTTCAATAGTTTTTAAAGAATTGTTTTAAGTGTGAAAATACTTAAATAGTGTGATCCCTATTAAGAATATTTTTGTCCAGACAAATGACCACAAGTGATTTATTTACCAACAAAATATTGTAAAAACAAAACATATAAATTCAGTTTAACAAATTAATGGATAGCAAAATATGATACTGTTTTTGTCTGTTGCAGCAATGTACAAAGCATACTTAATGACCCAACAGTATTACAGCAGATCCAACAGATGTCCCAGACACTTCAGAAGACAGAGCAACTCCGCACTGAGCTCCAACAAGAAGAAATGAGACAGCAGATGTTGCAACAACAACAAGCAGAATTTGACCAACAGATCATGCAAAGCCATGATTCTCAGGACTCTAGTTTTAATCAGGTATGTACTTCTTCTGTAAATCTGAAATCGGTATTATTGCATAATGAGAGTGTGTGTGTGTGTGTGTGTGTGTGTGTGTGTGTGTGTGTGTGTGTGTGTGTGTGTGTGTGTGTGTGTGTGTGTGTGTGAGAGAGAGAGAGAGAGAGTAAGATCAAGTGTAACGTACCTATGTAATTGTATCGTGTAGTTGTGCCAATTGCGTCAGATAAGAACACCTGGAAGTGACTTGTTTTTTATTATGTACAGACAATGATCGGTCTGTCTGTCTGTGTAGTCGCTGTCTGACACATGCCCCATAACTGCCAAACCGTATTTTTGTTTTACTTTAAATTTACTGAGTTGCTCTGTTTGGTAAAGAAGCAGGTTGCTTTTGAAAATCGGCATGATACGTTCACATTTACGGTAATTATTCTCTTTTGTTTTTTTTTTCTGCACAATTTTGGTGCCAAACCATATTTTTGTTTTACTGTTAATTTACTGAGTGGCTTTGTTTGGCAAAGAGGCAGGATGTTTCCGAAAATCGGCATGATTGTTTTTTTTTTTTTCCCACACATCAGCATTTTTAGTGGTTTTTATAGCTGATGAAACCAAATTATTTGCTTTTCAATGTCCATGTTACCTGTAGTACATTATGTAAGAGGGGAGAGTGATTATGCTGTTTTAAAACTTAATAGTGCATCAAAATGACTAAAACATTATTTGGTGCAGTCTTTTCATCTGAACATCTGAACATTTGTCAGCTTTGCTGCCTTGTTTCCTGTATGGTGTCTGTATATTTGTCAGCTTTGCTGTTTAGTTCTCTATTTGTTCTTGTAGGTGTCAGATGGAACAGCTGCAACGCGTGGTGAGCCCCCTTTACCTGGTGAACATCAATCTTCTAGTAGGGAGGACAAAAGGCGACGGAGATCAAGAGACAGATCAAGGTGGTATAACTTTCTGAAATTGTTTTAATTAATTTTTGTGCATAATGGGATATGTAAAGCATCTGATATGTGAAGGGAGTATCCTGACACATTTTGCTATTAAAGCACTCGTATGTTTAACTTTCTATTGCACATCACTTTATTATTGCTTAATTATAGTTTTATGCAATAAACTTTGTTTTGATGTCATGTTAGGTCACCCAATAGAAAGAGGAAAAAAAGATCAAGGTCAAGAGAAAGGAGAAAACGTTCTAGATCTCGGTCACGTTCAAGATCAAAAGGACATCGTAGATCAAGGTTAGTGCTTAAAATGAAGCTTAATTTTGGAAATTGCTCATAGAATTTGCCTTAGGGCCTCTTCTGAAACTGATAACCATCAGTTCCAATAGCTTTGTTTTCTCTTGGCCTAATGAGCTGCATAGCTTTTTGTTCATTTTGTATTTGAAAACTAAATAGCACAGGTGTGACAGCTTTTGGAATATAAAATAGTAATGACTGTTTTGATAATATCCACATCAGGTCCAGGGAAAGAGAAAAGGAAAAGAGGGATAGAGAACGTGACCGTGAAAGAAGAAAGAAAGGTTTACCACCTGTTAGAGAGAAGCACCTTGCTAGTAAGTAGTCTTTACTATTTTGGGTAATTAAAAAAAATTATTTATGTATAAAATGTCTTTTTCTACCCTTAAGTACATAAAAGTAATTGTTGTCTATTAAACCCAATAACATCACTCAAGTTTTTTGTTTATAAAAACTTTTTAGGCTCAGTGGCTCTGTGAATTTCCTCCTTTCAGTTTGTTCCACCACCTTATTTATTGGACATATTGCCAAAAACACCACAGAAGAGGAACTCCGAGAAGTGGTTGAAAACTATGGACAAGTTACATCAATAAATGTAAAAATTATTTTTTCTTAATTTTTTTGTTTTGCATTTGTATTAAAAAATTTGTTTGCATAATTAAGTATGCATATACTGCAGATCTTTGAAGAAAAATACTGAATATGTTGTATAACAGTTGCAATGAAACAAATAAAAAAAAATTATGAACATCTGCATTTTCATTTCTATAGATGATACCACCCAGAGGCTGTGCATTTGTATGCCTAAATGGAAGAAAAGAGGCCTCCAGGGCAGTAGAGAAACTGAAAGGAATAAAGATTAATGGTAGTGCTTTAAAGGTATGGGAAGAATTAAAGATAAAGGCGTGATATTGATTAAAGCACATCTTTTAGTTAGATGTGATATAGTTTTGTAAGTAAAGAGAAGACCCATTTAAGTTAACTGTTCAAATATTTTCAGAGATTGTTTGGTTGAGGCTTATGACCACAAGTTAGTAATTTACTTGTTAACAGCTTCACAAAATGTACAATACAGTTACCACAGCATTTTTTGAGAAGTAAAAAACTAATTTCAAAAACTGGATATTGAACATTATTAATGTTGACACATCTTACTGTTTTGTCTTACTTTTTTCCGCCAATTTTAGACTGACTGGGCTCCAGGTAAAGGTATCAAGGAGTGCCGTCTGAATGAGTTCTGGGACAAGGAGTTGGGAGTCACATACATTCCATGGAACAAGCTCCCTGAGGACCTGTCAGAGGCAGCAGAGGGAGGTCTAATTGATGAAGAGACCTTACCTGAAAACCTTAAAGGTGCATTTCAGAAATGCATTGTTTTGGTAATTGTTGAGATGGATGTCTTTGAGAAGTATACAGGTTGACCTGCTTTTGATATAGAGAAATTTGACAGTTTGTTCAGAGTATGTCCGTACATACTTCACCTAAATTCTGTTATCGCTATGCACATTTCACTATTATTTGAAATGTGACAATGATAGCAAATGTCTCCCATGTTGTATAAGCTCGAGTCTGTAACAGAATACAAATTTCTGTCTTTCAGGTGCCAAAACAAACACAGACGAGGACAGCATGGGGACTCCATTAGAAAATATGGGAACTCCCAGCTCCCAGTTTAATCTTGGTCCATCTGCAATGCCTACAGCTCCCCAGTTCCCACCAACTTTAATGGGTAAGTAGGGAGCTTCAGTTACTGTTACTGTATTTATTTTGCAATAATAGAATTTATTAAATATGACTAGTGCTGGTCTTGGTGAGAGGTGACAGCTTGTTTTGCTTGAGTTTCAGAATTGAATCGACTAAAAATATCCAGTGCACCGTTGTATGTAATCATTATCAATGGTTATGAAATTTTTTTTGATCAATAAGTTGAACTTAATACTTTATTAATGTTGTTGATTTGATTGATATGTGCTAGCCTATATGCAAATCTTTCATGAGCTTTCCAAATTTTGTTGTAGGTATGATGCCTCCAATGGTGCCAGGCATGTTACCCATGATGATGCCACACATGATGCCCCCTCTCCCCCCTGGGGTCCCAGCAGCCATGCCAGGTGCACCGCCACTCCCCAGTATGCCCCCAGTAGACCCTAACAAGCCAGAACCTCCAACATCTGCAGCCCAGGCTCAGGTATGCTATGCTATAGTGTGATACCTGTTCATAAGTATATGAAATTTAGTTAAAAAATGCTTAGAGATGGAAATGCTGACTCAGTGTTTCTCCTCATTGAGTAGATTCCCTGTCTATTAATTGTGATATATATATTCGATCTTTATGGCATTTCTTCAAGTGGGGTAAACTATAATGAAATGAAATAAAACTTGATTGTCTCTTGATGATGCAAGGTGAGCTTTTGGTTCCAGTGTGCACCATATTTAAAGCAAAAATTACATTCTGTATATTTTTTGTTCTAGCTTAACATGCAACCATCTAGCACAGTGCCCGGAAGAGCAGGTGTAGGGGGAAGCAATCAGTTAGCACAGGCCATACAAAACATAGTAGCCAACTCTGCCTCCATTACAGCAGTGGCCAACACCTCCACTCCTGGTATGATGGCACCACCGAGACCCAGGTTACCTGGCATGCCTAATATGCCCAACTTTGGTATGCCACCTCCAGGGTTTGACATGTCAAAGCCACCCCCAGGAGTCTCAGGGGCGATGGGTGGTGGTCCCCAGGGTGGCCCCCCAGGTGCCAGCAATGGACCACAGTCAGGGAAATCTATTTCCGAGGTACTGCAAAGTTTCACTGGTCAAACCAGTATTCCAAAGCCCCAGCAACCTCAGCAGCAACCTCAAGACATGGACATGGAGATTGAGGATGATGATCATGATCAGAGTGAATCTGCTTACAACAAACCAAATCATTTTCAAGGGCAGTCTTTAAGTCACCAGCAACCTGTAATGGGAATTGGTGTGATAGGTCTCAGAGCCCCAAGACCTGACTCTAGTCCTCTTTCCAGGGGTCCTGGAGAACCTAGGCCTTCAGGGCAGGGAGACTTTAGACCTAGAGGTATTATTCCTGGGAACCTATTAAGACCAGATTTAAGTCCCAGAGGAGGAAGTAACATGGTAGGACCCAGGTTCCCAGGACAATCCATTGGTCCAGGTGGCAGTCAACCCAGACTGCCTGGGCCAGATATTAACCCTGTCAGAGGAATGGGTCCTGATGTGGGCCAGCAGAGATTTCCTGGTCCAGGAGGATCACTTTTACGTCCTGGAGGGCCAGATGTCTCCCCACAGAGACATCCAGGTCCTGACATGGGTCCTCAGCGTCACCTTGTACCAGATGCTGGGCCTCCACCTCAGAGACATCCTGGGCCTAACTTGGGACTTCCCAGGCTTATTGGTCCACCTGACCGAGGCTTGCCAAGACATCCTGGACCTGAGATGAGTCCACAGAGACCAATGGCACCTGATATGGGCCCTCAGAGACACCAAGCTCCAGATATGGGAGGCCTCCAGCGATTGCCAGGTCCAGATCTAGGCCCTCCACGTCTCTCTGGACCAGACATGGGACCCAGAGGACAGATGGGAGATATGAGGCCCAGATTAGGGGGTCCTATGGGTATGAACCCAATGGTAATGGCCTCAAGGCCTGGTGGAATACCTTCACTGATGCAACAACGATTTGGACCTCCTGGTCTCAGAATTGGAGGCCCCCCGCAACAGGGTATCTTTCCCCCCAGGTTTGGAGGTATGGGATTTCAGAGTCGTCCTACGTTAGGATTCCGTGGTCCAAGCCAGCCTGGTGCTATAGATGGTCCTGGAACGTTTGACCCACCTCTTCAGGGATTCAATGGAAATTCTAGAGAGGATCAGTTTCCATTGGATCATAGACCAGAGGAGGATCATTTCAACAGAGAGAAGTCACAACGCTGGGGAGGAGATAGAAATTCAGATTTTAGAGGAGGGAATGATAATAGAGACTTGAGGCATGAACAAAGAGAAGACAGACAAGGCAGGGACAGATTTTCTCGTGACAGAAATGATTCAAGAGATAGAGACAGACATGACAGTTGGAATCGTGATAGAGATTGGGATAGGGATAGAGATCGCCATCATAATTCCAGACGAGATAGTAGGAGAGATAGTGATAGAGGAGATAGAGATAGACCAGACAGGGAAAGGGATAGGCATGAAAGGGATAGGTCTAACAGAGACAGAGATCGGTCTGAAAGAGAGAGGGAGCATTCAGATAGAGATCAAAGGGACGGAGATAAAATTGAAAAAAGGAGAAGCAGATGGGGTTTTGATACAAAACCAGAGGATGACAATGAAGCAGCAAATAAACAAGAAAACAAACAACACTTTGACAATGAAATCCAGAACAATAACAATCAAAGTCAAGAAATTGCTGCACCTACATCACAGGAAAATGCTGCTCCCATAGTACATGACAATACACATGCTACAGTGGATGAGCAGGAAAATGAACTTTTAGTAAAAAATAATAACTTAAAAGTTTTGACCTCTAGCTCAGAAAATGATGTTGAAACAATACCCAATGTAGTAGAATCACCAAAGACTGAACAAACTTCTAATGTAGAGGTTAATGTGGGAGAAAGTGTTCAAGAAGAGAGTTGATTTTAAAAAAGTTTTGCATGCTTAACAGCATGAAGGGGCCATTTTACCAGAAGGGTATCAGTGTGAAAATGTAAGATCTGGCTTTGGAAGATTACACTGGACAGTTTTAATCAGGAACTCTTGTTTCAGGCTTCTATGTTTGATGTTCTTTTTGCAAACTTTTTGGCATATTGAAAACCTTAGTTTATATTATTTGAAAAGGGTATACAAATTTTGTTTTAGTGGTCTTTTCAATTTCTGGGGGGAGGGGGTGGCATTTAAGGCCGAGTAATTAAGAAACTGTGTTCATGATAATGTTAGGAGATCGTAAAAAAGCAGACTTCATTGGGGGTTTGATTTTGATAGGCCCTGTCGACTTGACTGTGATGATTCTTTGAATTACAGAGATCCCCATGTAATAAAATCTGCTATGAAGCCATTTGTTAAGAGATGATTCTTTTTGGTGTTGTCAACTAAAAGACCTCTACTATTATATTGCAGTTATATTGGAATGATTATTTAAACTGCATTTTGACTTTTTTTAATGTAGTGCAAGTATGGCAAAATACATTTCTAAATTTGAATAGATCATTATGCAGGGTTATATATTTTGGACCAAAGGTGGTATTTAATGCCTGAAAGATTCACATTCAACTAAATCAGTCTTCGAGAGATTCTTTCAAGGCTAGATAGTTAATGGAAAAAACTGGCTCTCCATTCACAAAGAATTTTACCTTGAAAATAGCAACGCTTGTGAAGCCGTCTTGACGTCAAGGCATTTCATAAGGACTAAATAATCACTTGCCACTTCATTTTGTCTTATTCTAAGCCTTAAGACCAGTTCATTCATGGTCTTTTTTATTGCTCCCAGGAATGACTATATCCATTTAGGTGTATCAGCTGCATCTATTGAGAGATGACTTCATCAGCTCCTCAGTTTCTCTAGTTAGCCATTCTTGTACTGCAGTTATGTTTAAAGCCAAAAACCTGGGTCATTTTGTGCAATCTGGTCCAATTTGTAATTGCTTAAATTTTTGATGTGTCTTCATCCAAAGCCAAGTAATGACCAAGAGATGGGGGTTATCAGATGAGATCTTTCCAGTTATGTGTTGGATGTGAACCTGAAACCAGTAAGCTGAAAGGTTGGTTGAACGGATAAGAACAGTTTTTTGAAATCTTTTGCTTGGAGGTAAGATTTATGCACAGATGAGCAGGATGTACTTGCATTGACTTGGTTTTATTAAAAAGGATACATTTGACCAAGTGATTTCTACTCTGAAACAATTTGTTTCATGTAAAAACTATTACAGCACTAAACCCTGATACAATAAAAGATTGACAAGTAGTGAAGAAGTTCTGTTAATGGTACAGCTACCAACCACGGTGTTGCTTAATTGTTTTATATCTCGGCCTTTTCCCTGTGTAAATGTTTTTGTGACTTGATTAATTTTCCTGCATGTAAAGATACGTACAATGAAACATTAGTAATTATAATGCTGTTTTGGTTTTTTTCCTTGTGCTGGTTTCCCAAAACAACAACAACAAAAGGTTTGAAGTTGAAGACCTTATTTTGGCTTACTTAAGGGCTACTCCACTGGATTTCTTCCACTAAATTAAATTATTAAAGGTTTTCTCCACATGTTTCAAAATCCCCAACAGTCATATCTGTGCCCTTGAAAACTTACATTTCCCAATTCATACTAAGGGACAATTAAAACCCTTTAGATGCAAGATATATCTATAGATATAAAAAAAAAAAAACTGACATTTTCTTGTGTGAAATGCAACAATGCACATGATTTTGTAACTTTGACTGGCCAGTCATTTTTAACCAATATATTAAATTGAAACTGAATAAAAAATTGAATCCAAGTGCAGGGATGGGTCAAGCAATAACTTGTGAATAGGAAAATTGCTATTTACCCTTGGAAAATTCATTTTGGTAGAAAAATCCAGTGGAGTTGCCCTTACAGCTCAATTCAGGGGAAATCTGCAGCAGTTCACTTAGAAAGATTATTTGTGAAAAAACTGTTACAGTAGCCATTTCTTTCTGGTTTAAAACCAGCAAGTTTTTCATTTTAAGGGACAATGACAGATTTATATGTTAGGTCAAAGTATACCAAATTTTTGGTAAATGATTGAGATGGATTTATGGCTCAATGTTATTTTGTGAAAATGGGATGTTAATCTTCACTACATATGAAGACAAAGTGATGAAAAATGTGGCATCTTTATCATTCAAATAGGAAATTGAAATTGCAGTTGTTTTTTTTTTTTCAAAGTAAATGCTTGAATAAAAGAATGCGTAAAAAAACTAAACGGGCCTATTTGAATGCAATAGGCCCTTGTTTATTTCTCCAATCTGAATGTCTACATATATTTTTAAAACCATCCCCAGAACTCCTTGATCATTACTATAAATGCAGAGTACAGTTTTTCTCATTAAACATACTTTGGTATTTATTAAGAATGAGGTGGATTTAACGAAGTGAGTAGATTTAATTGCACTTAAAATATGTAAATATACCTCTAAATAATAAATAGACACAACCTTGAAAAGAGCAGTATAACTAAAATAGCTGTATGTTTTTCAATATACACAATTCAGTTGAATAATCTCATAAAATGAGAAAATACCATGTTCCTCAATTGGACATTTTCAGGCCTGCATATAAACTATTCTAACTCTAACTGTTGAGGTCCCCAAATATGTTAGAACTTCTACACATAAAAATGCACAATTTTAAATGGTGACAAAAGTACCTTTGTATGGTGGAGTATGTTTGACTCGGAAACTTATAATATGCAGACTTTATACAAAAAAAAAAAAAAGTAATAATAATTAAATGTTGCTCCAATTCATGCTTTATCTTAAGTAGCTTGTTTATAAGTTTTAATCTGGTTATTGATGAGTAGTTGTGTAAGTGAGACATTCCTCTTAATGATCATTGTAAAAGAGTCCTCCTATAAAAGATACACCCTTGGGAAATATGGAGTTTTTTTTGTAAAACAAAAAATATAACAAAATTACTCTGCTGTAAGAACAAATGTGTGTTACATAATATCTGCAAGACGATGAAACCAAAAATATGCAGGCCTCGAGCATATGGCTTGCATTAATTAAACACCTTGTTTTGAGTAAGGTCAAGTTTGTTTTGAATTTTCAGGACACTTGCATGTAGAAAGATACTCAGTTCAGCAAATAAACAATATTCTGTAAAATATAAAAAAAGTATTTTTTTGTCAATAAACATCTCTTTGACTGGCAGTCATTAGCAAAGGAGTGTTTTAAAGTCAACTTGGGGACAAGAAGAAAATGCTCCTCACAAGTTTTTTTTACTATTAAACCTGGATATATAATTTTATATAATTTAGTGTGGATATATTTGTTTCAACATTTATGAAATTTAGAGTGATTGCATTTGCTTTAACAGAACTTTAACAGAGATGTAATGAAAATAAATGCAAAAAATGATGATGGATTTTGTCTTTTTTTTTTTTTTTTTTGTGTGTGTGTGTGTGTGTTTGGATTAAATTCTTGTGGCAAAGCAGATTTGTGGTATTGGTAGGTGAGAATTTTCTTCCATAACATGCAAAGATAACTTTTTTGTAAATACTATCTGGTAAGATTCATGCTTAAAATGAAATAGATATAATGAACTTATCCATGACAAAAAAATTAACATGAAATTTTGCAGCCAAAGAACGTAAAAGATAATTGTTACTAAATACTGAAGGGTTGTACAGTGTATAATGTCTATGCACTAAACATTCTTTTGGCTAACTTTTCAAGCATATCAATATCATCATCGGAAAGGCCATATTTCTTTTTAAACATGGTTCTTATGTTGTCTGTATCTTCCTGCCTATCTGTTTTGTGGAAACTGTTATAACTATGATCCTCTTTATTACTTTGTAACATTGCATCTTCACCAGCTACTAGTCTCCTAGCATTTGCCAATTTCCCGTCTTGGATTTTTGCAGGATTAAGAGATTCTTCTACTTCCCCCACAGCTTGTCTAAGGTTGTCTTTTGATTTCTGACCACCTCTGTTCTCTTTGTCTCTGTTTGCAATATAAAGTTGCAGATCTTCAACTAAGTCTTGTAACACATCTTTAACATTAGCTTTTGGAATGGTTTTATCTAAGATTGCTCCAATGATCTCCCTGATTTCTTTCTGCAAATACTCACTGTCATAAGAGGGCAATGCATTAGTTACTGCTTGTGTTAACTTTTTAATAACTACTTCTTTTGACTCTGCTTCCTCCTTTTCCATCATGTTTTTTACAGTCTGTGGGTCAGGTACAAATGCTGATTGCATCTCATCTTCATCCTTGTGTGGTCTGGCAGATCTGCCTCTTTCTGCCTTTGCATCAGTTCCATGCAAAATCAGTTGCCAGTATGTTATCTCACCAGTATTTTCCCGACCATTTAGGGGAATATCTTTGACCACCAGTGTCCAAGTCCCACGTGGATTTTCACCCCAGTTACGAACTGTCATGAATGTGAAATCTATTCCTTTCTTTGAATCATCATAAGGTCTCAAGGAGAGTAACTCAGATCTGGTTCCAGCAGGAGAGATGAGGGTTAACTGTATGTCCCCCCTACGTGACGTGTTTAATCTGACGTACACCTCCACATGTTCTAGGTGGTCTATTCTGTTTTCCGTGTTCTGGCAGGCTGACGTGGACATGGTCATACTAATTGTACTTTTACTGTCAATTTTTCTGAACACAAAAAAGAGATGAAAAAGCAAATAAACAACGAATTTATAAATACACATAAACAAAGTTAAAATTTGAAGACACAACTTTACCTGACTAAATTAGAGATCACCAATGTATCATGTTGTATATGTCAATGCCATAAGACATGATTAAAGCCAATTAAAACATCTTGGATTTACTTGAACATTAGGTATACTTTTAGATAAATGATAAGACTACATAAAAATGTCTATTGACGGGTTACTGCACTAATGATTTTAAACAAAACAAATCATTTAACTTCTTACTTGTTCTCTTTTTGCATTGGTGATACACATGTATGTTGAGGGCCAACATTTTTCCATGTCTGTGCTACCTCCACCATCTTCCCACAGTCCAAGACACCAAAACCAAACTTTTCATTGGTGTGCTTGCCGGCCCCATTGACTTCCCAGCCAGGCTCCTTGAAATTAGGGATTCTAGCTGTCTCAACCACCAGGTGTTGCACATCTCTCCAGGTCATGTTTTGACTACAGCAAGAAATAAAACTTCTTGAATTTAAAATATAGCAGTATAGTGTAGGTCCGAAAGGATTTTAGCATAAACTTATAGAATATAGAAATATTTACAAAATTATAGAAAGTAGCTTTAAATTTACAATAATTTTTATATCAACTTTTTTAGAGTCTCTACTCAATATTAACTTAGCATATTAGTTTTAAAAGAACACTTTTATATGTAGTATAACTAGTATTTCAAATTTTCTCATGAATCTATTCCTCATTTTCACAGCAAGCTTACTCCCTTTCTAATACCAAAAGTATACTTCTTTAAAATCACCAGTACCGAGTCTAAGGAATTAACCATGCACATAATATTTTAGTACTCACTTGGCTTGTAAGGCCAGTGCAACACATCCAGCACATAAAGGAGCAGCACTGGATGTTCCTTGGAAATTTTCTGTGCAGCCACCATCAATGTCAGTGGTCACCTACATATAATATTCATGGAGTTAGAATAAAAGTGACGAATTCATAAATAGTTCGCCATTCCAGGCTCTTCATACGTTTGTCACTGCTTGTAAAAATGTTGCCTAACCCTTTACTAACTAACACAATTAACAAAATATTCAGTGATCTGAAGTTTAAATGAAGAAAGATAAAGCTTAGTCTGCATGTCTCACCACTTTGAGTATAGGATGCTCTCTTTCATGTCTATCCTTTGGATCATGCTTGCCTCCACTGTAGACTACAGCTAAGGTTGAAGGACAAAACTCCATGAAATATGTGCTCAGACCATACTGGTTTATAGAGCCCACTGATAATGTGTAGATACTGCTTACATAACCATCTGCACCACAGTCATCTCCCATATGTCCCCCATTGCCTGTTGCCCATACATAGATATTACCTCTTCCATGCCTTCCCTAGAAGATACACAAACCCAATTCATAAATTCAAAGCAATACATATGTGACAGAAAAAAAACATATTAAGTTTGAACTTCCTGTGCTTATAAAAAGTTTTACTAATTTGTTTATTTTGAGCCACCCAAAATGGCTAACATAAACAGACATAAAGTTAGTGAACAAGTACTAATAAGTAAAATTTTTAATGCGGTTTTTTTACAGCTCTGGCTGAAAATGGCAATTTTCTAAGCAATATTTACAATATTTTGGTGGGTATTACCTTAGATGTGCCTTCCTTTAAAGCAGCCTGTGTATACCTTCCTGGCTTCTCCATCACTTTCCCATTATCCCGTGGACCCCAGGAGGCACTATAGATGTCAACGTAGGTCATTTTAAAGATGGCTGCCTTGGCTTCTAGTTTATCAGTTACTTTACCATCAAGAAGTCTCACTCCTACAAAATGAAATGATCAGGAATAAATTAATCAAAAACCATCTTTTCCTGTTATGCTATCTTTTAACAAAGCAAAATGTACTTGAATGAACAACATTTGCACAAATTATATGCAAATCCATGTTTATAAATGTCACAAGACCTACCAGAGAACATTTCATTTAAGCCAAATCCTTTACTGAAACATCAAAGAAGAGTAGCCTACACATCTTTTCCCCAATCAAAGACCAAACACAGCAGTTCACATACTTGTATTGAACTGTTAAAAGAAGTTACCTCCAATTTTAGCATCAAATGCTATTCCTACACCACAGAATGAATTATTTGCCTCTGATGCAATTTCACCTGCACACCTGGTCCCATGACTGAAGTGGTAATGTAAACAACAATCAAACAAACAAAAAACAAATATGAATACAACTATAAAACTCAATCATTGTTTTAAAATTGTGGTACATATACATCTACATATGAATCTGTTTATATGCACATAAATTGTGAACATTTATCATCCCCCCCCCCCCCCCCATATCAATGCATTTCATATCAACAATAATTTTGTGGAGTAGAATTAGATTAGGATGTTTAATGGTAAATTTTATTCTGGTCAGAACTCAAATAAACAGCTATTTGTCCTCATAAAAAAAAATAATAATACAAAAACATTACAATGGGTAAAAGAAAAAAAAACATTCTGTTAGCATTTCCAATAAGAAATAATGAACCAAAAGTAAAAAAAAAAATTCTAAACAGCACATTTCCAGTAAAAACATGCATCAAGTTACATCAGTTAAACATAGTAATAACTGCATACAAAATTGTCTTGAACTGATCACATTACAGTTATATTTATGCCAAAATCAAACTGACATTATATACTCAATGCATATTTCTCAATACAGTACACAGATGAGATGCTACACCAGATTTCCAATTACCCAACAGCAGAAAAATGTCAAACAATAATCTTAAAAAGAGTTATATTGAAGTATGTTAACAGGCATATGTCACAAAGAAAAATGACAAAAATTAAAATATTTTTTTAAGAAAGAAAATAAAAAAATCATTGTTCAGATTACAAAAAGCAAGATTACAACCAATAAAACATGCAACAAATCAATATACACAAATGGTACTGTCCTACATGTGGTTGGTAATTTTTACTTACTTTGTTTCCTGCACGCAGATGAAGGATTGAAGTGAAGATGTTATTGTTTTGAAAGTCAGAAGCAAAAAAGACGGAGAGAGAGAGAGAGAGAGAGAGAGAAATAGAGATAGAGAATAGCATATTTTCCTAATAATATTTGGCTGGGTAAGATATGTTGATCAAACTGATTCACTACAGCATAATCATATATTATTGCTACATATATACGGTAATAACTTGACCTTTTCAATGGGGGGAAATTGTAAATTTTACAGATACTGCATTTTTAGGTCTAACTTCTTAAAATAAGAACATTCCTTTTAGAAAGTATCAGAACATTAAAAAGCAAGCTGCTCTATAGCACTATAAATGCTACACAGAAATATAATTTTTGTGACTAAAAAATTCTGTATCTGAAAGTTTGATAATTTTTGCCCATTGAAAAGACCAAGTAATTGCCTTAAACCTTATATCATGTATAAATGTCAACAAATACAGTTCTAGTAAAAACTATATCTGAAGCAGTTTAAATCATAAACTTTTCAGCTTACTAACCATTTGGACCACCACTTTTCTAAAAAAACTACTTGGCCAAATCAGGATTCTCTGATCCAAATAAAAAATTTCAATAAGAATGACCATTTCCCCCTATTGCATTAATATTTGTAATGAAAAGACCTTGATTTTGTTACACATTTTTTTTATTTAGAATCATCATGTAAAAGTTACAATTCAGAAAAAAAGTTAAATATACAGAAAGAATTGAATGGCCAGGTCGGAGCTATAAATTCACACATTTTGAAAAATCTACTGGTCCAAACAAAAATTAACTGACCACAGGCATAGGGCCAGTGGCTAATGTCACAGACTTCTACAGTGAAGTAATTATATATATAAGAGCTACATCACGCTATAACTTACTTGTGTAGATCTTTTTACCACAGGCACATCCTTTAAATTTAAAAGTAAAACCCCATATTTACACTTATTACTTCTCATATAAATGTACACACCTATTGGAGACATCATCTCTTGGAGTGGGGTCATCATCATTGCCATTAAAATCTGAACTGGCTTCTGGGTCCTAAAAAGATAAACAATCACAACATTAAACTAAATAAGTCTATCAAACAACCACAATAAAGAAGGGAGCAAAGATGTCAATTGTACAGACATTAAAACAAAAAATGATGCACAAAATAGATTATTTTCAATTGTCAACTTTTACATAATGCTTGTTTTCCTTTCATTATGTGTTTGCGTGCGTGCATGTGTGTGTGCATGCATGCATGCGTGCGTGTTTGCTGCCAGGCATACAGAGACAGAGACTGGAGACATTAAGTATATAAATAAATACTTTTTTAAAATATTAAAATATTAGTGCATTTGTAATACATAACATAAAGTAGTCTGCATGAAAAATAAAGTTTCATAGGCCAGGGGTTGGCAAATAAAATTGAGGTAATAAAAAGAGCATGTTATGAATCATGAAAGCACAATAGGTCCTATTTTGCACATATACTCACATAGTTCTTCTTCAGATCAGGATGTTCATGTTGTACACCATCATCTAAAATACATACAACTGTTCCCTTGCCTGTGAAGCCCTTTTTCCAAGCAGCCACTACATTTAGGTTCATGCCTTTCTTACCACCTGCTATTTGACTGTTATGCTGAAATTTAAGATTAACCAAAATTATTTATAAACATATTTTGCATCTTATTTTCTACATTCAAAATATATAAATTCTGAAAATACTTGAAGAAACTGTGAAAAAACAATAGTAATGTAAATAAAGAGCATAACTCAAATAATACCTATGCAATGATCATTTGCAATTATGTTATTTAAATATATTTATAAATTACTTACAAGCTGCCACTGATCGCGATACAGAGGGTCTATAAAGTTCATGTCATCTTCTGTATCGGGTGATGGGATTCCATCTTTAAAAGCCATGTCATTTTCTTCTGTGTAATGTCTCTCAAATACTGATCTATCTTTGTAAGTTTCTATCTCTAGTTCGTTTTGTTTGTCATATACAATATCCCTTGTATCCTCTTCTGTTTCTCTGTCTTTCCTAGCAGTAAGTTTCTCTTTTTCCAAGTCTATGCGTCTTTTTTCAATATCAGAGTGTGTATTATCTATTGCTTCTCTTTTAATTGTTGCTACAAGTACTTCTTCCAATTCTTTTGGTGTGAAGTCTCTTTTGTCTCTTATCAGATGGACTTGTTGCTCAACATGATTAACCTGAAGTTAGATATTTATGAAACATTCTTCATTTCATTCCAAAACATAATGGAGTAATTCTGATGATATAATTGCACATAACACAGGAGATGTTTAATACATAAAGTGTCAGTTCGCTTAACAGCAGTATTCAAAACCAGGGTCTAACACTTCACTAGACTACCTAGGGAAAGGGGATCCATTTATTCAGCCATAATTCCAGCTTAACAGTCACACAGAAGATGCATCTTTACTATATAAGTGACATCTTGGATTTACACTCTCTCCAAAGCGTTTTCTAAATCTGAATAAGTAATCACAGCAGGGCCTTCTTGGCGCAGACTTGATGGAAGAGAGTGTTTGCAGGTATTAGTCATTGAGTACTGCTGTTTGGAAAGAGTCAACAAACTACAGACCTCTTGATTGTTTGACAAAAACAATAAGATAATGTTCCTCTCCTACCACTTTACCCCTTAAGTTAAATTGATGCTTTGATTTAAAATATTGAGTTAAAAGGAATATACAATTTTAATTAAAAATATACCTGTAGATGTGATAACAATAAATCTCTGTGTTTATCAGCTGCTCTCTTAGTTCGCTTCTCAATCTCATCGTGTACAAAATGGTACACATCTCCATACTCATCCAAGTGAAACTAAAGAAAAACAGTAAGTTTTCTAACAGATGTTTGGTCAAGGTAAAAAAGGCAATTTATTGAAATAAAGTACTCAATCAAAATAAGACTTTTTTGCACTTTTCAAAATCATTATCCTTTCAATTTAATCAAAACACCCCCCCCCCCCCCAAAAAAAAAGTTTGTTTATAACTGATGCTGTTGAAATGTTTTAGAAAAAGCAACTTTTAGTGGCATACCATGGTGGTATTAAAAACACTGCCTTACTACGAACAACATACTTCTTTAACAAACATGTCTTTCCCTGTAATATTTAAATTCTATCCTCTTTGTGAATACCTTCATTCAAAATAATTTAACATGGTTCTGATGACACACCTGATCCTCTATTCTAAAACCGTACTGGTCTGCTATACTTCTGGCCACCCGTTCCCCACCAGAAATCTCCACAAGGAAATCATTGGAGTATTCTGTCTCTTCATCTTCCAGCAGGTCTGCCTCTGTATTCACAGGGTGCGGGAAGGTATTGCACAGGAGAGACAGGATTATCACAGTTAGCTTGTACATGAGCATTTTGTCTGAAAGTAAAGGCAATTTTTTTTAAAAAAAGAGTATTTAAAATTAAGTTTAGCCATTTTGATGCATGCCTAGAGTCACATCGAAATGTGTATTTAAGTTAACGTTTACTTTATTTCTGAAACAGACACTCCTTACCATTAATGTTTCACAAATAATATATGAAATGTCACCTGCACATAAATATGAACACAAATTCATCACAACATTATTAAAATTCACATATGTAGTCACCTGAAATGTTTTTTTTAATTTGTACATTATTGAATGTTGCTCATGCCTAATATCACTTATTATCTTGTTCAGTATGACTGGAGTAGTCAGTGATACATTTCCCCAATACATTAATCAGTACTGTTGTTACACTGTCTAAATTTATGCAAAGCAAAAAGTAAAGCTTAAGTTAAATTAAGTGTGAAAAAATGTTCACTAAATATGAGCTAATGTATACCTGCTTGTATTTTATGCAATGTAGAACAAAATCCTAGTCACCTTAATAATCTCGCACTAGTGGTTTTTATCATACTCCTCAGCAATACAGACCATATGTTTGCTCAACCACTCTAAGGCCAGCATGCTAACATTTGTTTAAAGTTCTCTTATACATTCTGCATCACGATTTCACTGTGGAATACAATGGCAACCATAGTTATGTGGGTGTAAGTGAAGCATATAGGATAAACAACCTAAATACAACACCACAGTCTTTATAGCATTGACATGCACATTTTTTGTATTGTCAGCACAGTGAATTTTAGTTATTATATAAATTTTCTCTGTCTACTGCCATTCTACCATAAAGAGGCACTGGATAGTAAGTGTGAGATTGATCTAATCATATAGTTTGCCCAGCTCAGATATCAAATTATGTGACCGTTTCATGAAATCTGACCCAAATTCTTTGACCATTTTATGAAATTTGACCATGATGGGCCCGTTCTTCAGGATCAATTCTTGTATCTCTTTTTTTTTCTTTAAAAAATGAAAATGTGGTTCTCTTTCCATGAAAAATTAAAACATCACCATTATACCCTTACACTAAAACCAAGTGGAAAATTCTAAATACATTCCATAAAATCTCCTATATACAACAAAAAATAGCTAAATGCCTCTTATCTTGCCTTTCTTAATTCTTCATAGTAAAAATGGCAACGTATTTCAAACATGGTAAATGATGTAATGAAAGGGGTATCTTTAGGCTCAATTATTATAGGTGTTTGATTACAACCTCCAACAGGAGTCTGTAATTTGTTATGAAATTGAATAGAAGACCTCTGTGACTAAGTGTGAGATCTGAGATGAACAAGTTGTCTACTCTTATGTAACTACCCTCTCCTATCCTGAACAAGCTGTCTATGCTTATGTAACTACTCCACCCCTAAAAAATGACAAAGAAGCAGGTAGAGGAGATAACTACAGGGTTATATGAAATCACAAAGATGGGCAACTGGAGTAGGTCTAAGTCTATGCCTGACCTCATCTTTACAGTTATTAATACATTACGTAACACAGACCAGGTGGGTGGGTGGGGGTTAATATCACCCAAGAAAATGGCATGGTCAAAAAAAATTTGTGGAATAATCTACTGGAGAAAAAATATTGAAAACAGTAGTGTACAGGTGAGATATGGCAAAAGGATTCATCTAAATAACTTTCCCCAAATTACAAACTGGGTAAAAAAATATAAGAACATAGGAAATTGATGAAGCCCACTAAAAGAGTCAACCATCAACAAATGGTCAAAAGTTGGCTGAAAGATACAGAGAATGTGGATGCAGCGTGAGATTCTGTTGGTGGGAGTCCAACGCGTTTGAAAAACGTTTGAAAAAAAAATCTTGTACAAGTCAAAAGCCAAATCTTTGTTTTGTATTAATTGTTCACTCCATATATAGACATGGATTTTAAACACTATTTCACTGACGTAAATGAGAGTGTTAAGTTGCTATTAATAAACCTGGCACTGATTCACATTGGGCAGAGATTGCTAAGTCCTTGTGCACACCCACACTAAGTGAAACTCTAGTTAAACTAGTGTTTATAAGAAGTAATAACAAATTCTACAATACATTTCAGCCCAGAAATGAAAAGTACAATAATACCATTTACACTCATTTTTTAAACACATTACTTTACTGAAATAAATACGATACCCTCATACCTGTTGAACATCATTTCATAATAGCAAATAATTTTTGGTTTTCAACATGAGCCAATCAGTAAGAATTGTCACACCCATATCCTGACCTTTTGTATTAAGGCAATCCATTATATTCTTAATCTTGATGTATGAAGTGTTTTATCAGCTCAATCTCCTTGTGCCACTTGAGATGTTTGTTGGAAGCATCTATATACTACAGTATATCCACTCATATATAACCACTACATTGGTTCACGCTAGCAGAGACAATATTGCCAAAAGAATTCCATTTGCCAAAGTAAACCAAAATGATTTTCTATATCACTTGGTTATTTATTCTACTTTGAGCTTCAAATAATCTAACATTAGCATCACTTGATTTCCATTAACTGACTCTTAAAACTGTGCCAATCACAAATATGGCTTCATGGACAGGACTAGCACGAAAATTCATGCGTTAGCACCCCTATTGACGATTCTGATATGTACAGACAGTACGTATCAGAATCGTCAATAAGAGTGCTAATGCATGAATTTTCGTGCTAGGACAGGACCTGGTAGACTATTCATCTAAATTTTTTTTTTTTTTGTGATGGTTGTTTGAAAAGGCTTTCTTCAGTAACACATGTACCACATTATACCAAATATTCATTGAAAAGTGTTACATTTACCTGTTTTTTAATTATTGTAATCCAATTATGTGTTGGATGTGTGTTTCTTTCAACTGCATGTAGTAAAACGATGACATATCTGAAAAAGACAACAATTATTTCAATTTTTGTATGAACAACATTGTTTGAATGGGGATAGTGCGAATTTTCACATATGGACCAGAATCAAAGTAGAACGAGGTATATTGAAAACCAGAAGACTGCATGGGTAAGTACAGTCCCAGCAACGCGGCGTATCTCCGATTCTGCGACATAGATCTATCCCATAACAAAATGTTCAGAAAACGAGTGGAGAAAGTATTGGGTTCACCAGGTTTTTCATTTTCCTTCTGTCCGAGTTAATGTCATGGATGTAATCTAAATGGTGTAATATAACCTGGAAAATGACACTAACAGTAACAAGCAACACAACACGCCCAAAAAGCGGCATTAAACGAGTTTTTTTTTTACTTTCATAACTCACAAATACAAGTGTCTCGCAGTGCTTGTTTCCCGTATGACAATTATGCATCAACATAAACAACAAAGTCACCAAGCAGAGAAAATTTGATAAAAAATCACCAACCTGACTGCCAAGTGAGAGGGCACCTGTTGCCATTCTACTCGGGTTTTATCGGATTTCTTCGAGCAAATTCAACATCTTCTATCACGTGACTTTTAATTTGTCTTAAGCACTTTAAATTATATTACTAATATAAAGGTAATATGTGCATTTGGCTCTTAATGTTTTTGAAAACGTGTAAGACTCAAACTTATGTCACTATGAATGTTAAGGTAAACCAATTTGTTGAAATATGATAAAATTAAGTGACCTGCGCAATTTTGATGCGCATTGTGCAGTGTCAACAAGTCTTCAGCGTGAAAGTGGAGGGAGCACAGACGTGAGTAAACATTTTAATATTACAACAATTTAAAACACCAATTTGTGACAGCAATGAATAAAAACAGAACACTCTTAATTAATAATTAAGTAAAACATCTTGTCATGAAGTGCGTTCAGTCTAAATAAGTCTTATACGGCTGTTGTTTACGTGTTGTTAGNATGTTCACTAAATATGAGCTAATGTATACCTACTTGTATTTTATGCAATGTAGAACAAAATCCTAGTCACCTTAATAATCTCGCACTAGTGGTTTTTATCATACTCCTCAGCAATACAGACCATATGTTTGCTCAACCACTCTAAGGCCAGCATGCTAACATTCGTTTAAAGTTCTCTTATACATTCTGCATCACGATTTCACTGTGGAATACAATGGCAACCATAGTTATGTGGGAGTACGTGAAGCATATAGAATAAACAACCTAAATACAACACCACAGTCTTTATAGCATTGACATGCACATTTTTTGTATTGTCAGCACAGTGAATTTTAGTTATTATATAAATTTTCTCTGTCTGCTGCCATTCTACCATAAAGAGGCACTGGATAGTAAGTGTGAGATTGATCTAATCATATAGTTTGCCCAGCTCAGATATCAAATTATCTGACCGTTTAATGAAATCTGACCCAAATTCTTTGACCATTTTATGAAATTTGACCATGATTGGCCTGTTCTTCAGGATCAATTCTTGTATCTCTTTTTTTTCTTTAAAAAAATGAAAATGTGGTTCTCTTTCCATGAAAAATTAAAACATCACCATTATACCCTTACACTAAAACCAAGTGGAAAATTCTAAATACATTCCATAAAATCTCCTATATACAACAAAAAATAGCTAAATGCCTCTTATCTTGCCTTTCTTAATTCTTCATAGTAAAAATGGCAACGTATTTCAAACATGGTAAATGATGTAATGAAAGGGGTATCTTTAGGCTCAATTATTATAGGTGTTTGATTACAACCTCCAACAGGAGTCTGTAATTTGTTATGAAATTGAATAGAAGACCTCTGTGACTAAGTGTGAGATCTGAGATGAACAAGTTGTCTACTCTTATGTAACTACCCTCTCCTATCCTGAACAAGCTGTCTATGCTTATGTAACTACTCCACCCCTAAAAAATGACAAAGAAGCAGGTAGAGGAGATAACTACAGGGTTAAGTGAAATCACAAAGATGGGCAACTGGAGTAGGTCTAAGTCTATGCCTGACCTCATCTTTACAACGTAACACAGACCAGGTGGGTGGGTGGGGGTTAATATCACCCAAGAAAATGGCATGGTCAAAAAAATTTTGTGGAATAATCTACTGGAGAAAAAATATTGAAAACAGTAGTGTACAGGTGAGATATGGCAAAAGGATTCATCTAAATAACTTTCCCCAAATTACAAACTGGGTAAAAAAATATAAGAACATAGGAAATTGATGAAGCCCACTAAAAGAGTCAACCATCAACAAATGGTCAAAAGTTGGCTGAAAGATACAGAGAATGTGGATGCAGCGTGAGATTCTGTTGGTGGGAGTCCAAGTGTTCCCTCAGCACGTTTGAGAAAAAAAATCTTGTACAAGTCAAAAGCCAAACCTTTGTTTTGTATTAAAATTGTTCACTCCATATATAGACACATGGATTTTAAACACTATTTCACTGACGTAAATGAGAGTGTTAAGTTGCTATTAATAAACCTGGCACTGATTCACATTGGGCAGAGATTGCTAAGTCCTTGTGCACACCCACACTAAGTGAAACTCTAGTTAAACTAGTGTTTATAAGAAGTAATAACAAATTCTACAATACATTTCAGCCCAGAAATGAAAAGTACAATAATACCATTTACACTCATTTTTAAACACATTACTTTACTGAAATATATACGATACCCTCATACCTGTTGAACATCATTTCATAATAGCAAATAATTTTTGGTTTTCAACATGAGCCAATCAGTAAGAATTGTCACACCCATATCCTGACCTTTTGTATTAAGGCAATCCATTATATTCTTAATCTTGATGTATGAAGTGTTTTATCAGCTCAATCTCCTTGTGCCACTTGAGATGTTTGTTGGAAGCATCTATATACTACAGTCTATCCACTCATATATAACCACTACATTGGTTCATGCTAGCAGAGACAATATTGCCAAAAGAATTCCATTTGCCAAAGTAAACCAAAATGATTTTCTATATCACTTGGTTATTTATTCTACTTTGAGCTTCAAATAATCTAACATTAGCATCACTTGATTTCCATTAACTGACTCTTAAAACTGTGCCAATCACAAACATGGCTTCATGGACAGGACTTATTGACGATTCTGATACGTACGGTCTGTACATATCAGAATCGTCAATAGGGGTGCTAACGCATGAATTTTCGTGCTAGGACAGGACCTGGTAGACTATATATTATTCATCTAAATTTTTTTTTTTTGTGATGGTTGTTTGAAAAGGCTTTCTTCAGTAACACATGTACCACATTATACCAAATATTCATTGAAAAGTGTTACATTTACCTGTTTTTTAATTATTGTAATCCAATGTGTTGGATGTGTGTTTCTTTCAACTGCATGTAGTAAAACGATGACATATCTGAAAAAGACAACAATTATTTCAATTTTTGTATGAACAACATTGTTTGAATGGGGATAGTGCGAATTTTCACATATGGACCAGAATCAAAGTAGAACGAGGTATATTGAAAACCAGAAGACTGGGTAAGTACAGTCCCAGCAACGCGGCGTATCTCCGATTCTGCGACATAGATCTATCCCATAACAAAATGTTCAGAAAACGAGTGGAGAAAGTATTGGGTTCACCAGGTTTTTCATTTTCCTGCTGTCCGAGTTAATGTCATGGATGTAATCTAAATGGTGTAATATAACCTGGAAAATGACACTAACAGTAACAAGCAACACAACACGCCCAAAAAGCGGCATTAAACGAGTTTTTTTTTTACTTTCATAACTCACAAATACAAGTGTCTCGCAGTGCTTGTTTCCCGTATGACAATTATGCATCAACATAAACAACAAAGTCACCAAGCAGAGAAAATTTGATAAAAAATCACCAACCTGACTGCCAAGTAAGAGGGCACCTGTTGCCATTCTACTCGGGTTTTATCGGATTTCTTCGAGCATATTCAACATCTTCTATCACGTGACTTTTAATTTGTCTTAAGCACTTTAAATTATATTACTAATATAAAGGTAATATGTGCATTTGGCTCTTAATGTTTTTGAAAACGTGTAAGACTCAAACTTATGTCACTATGAATGTTAAGATAAACCAATTTGTTGAAATATGATAAAATTAAGTGACCTGCGCAATTTTGATGCGCATTGTGCAATGTCAACAAGTCTTCAGCGTGAAAGTGGAGCGAGCACAGACGTGAGTAAACATTTTAATATTACAACAATTTAAAACACCAATTTGTGACAGCAATGAATAAAAACAGAACACTCTTAATTAATAATTAAGTAAAACATCTTGTCATGAAGTGCGTTTAGTCTAAATAAGTCTTATACGGCTGTTGTTTACGTGTTGNATTAGGTTTGTCCATTTTTTCTGCAATCATTTCATTTTTGGGTAAAAAATTCCAAGGTCAGCTTGGGAAAAACGCGTGTGCTATTTTTAGACAGCTGATACAAATTTTTCCACGGAAATGAAATGTTCATTTTACATTGTGCGTTTACATCAAGTTCTAAATTTTATTTTTTGAAAGTTTCAAGCGGAATAATGGGCTATTCACAGAGTTTCATGGATTTTCATAACAGATATGGATTTTGCAAAATATGGCGCGAAACACACGTCGCGGACTATTTTGTGCAAGCGCGTAGGATTTTTTGTAATAATCACCGCTTACGCATTGATATGCCAGATCTCCGGACAGACTGTAGGGTGCATTTGACTTGGCCTGATAATTTTATTGTCACGTCAGTACGTGGCACGTTAGTTGAACCTAAACCTATTGAACAAAGTGAGGTTCATGATATAGCCATATTTGTCTTTTTAGGGTTTGCTGTGATAGAAAAGAAAATGATGTAACGCCATAACACGGGAACAGGATCATAAAATTTTATCTGTGATATACATGTACATTTGTGATATTTACTTCCTATACATTCCACCAATACCACAGGAGACTGAACAATGGGTTCAGCCGCTAGTACAAGTCATAAACAAGCTACCACTACAGTCAGTGCCACACATGCCGTGGCAAAGTTTAAGAAGAAACAAGATGTAGCGCAAACTACAGAAGCAGCATTGATAGTGGATGAAGAGAAAAAAGAAAAGGAACTGTATGAAAAACATCCAGAGTTAAAAGATGCACTTGATGGTTTTGAAGAAATCAATGACACAATTAAAACAAAATCAGTAGATAATAGACAAATCCTAAGAATGCTTAGTTCAGATGTATATGAAGCTTATGCTGACTTTGAAACAAAAGAACAGCGTCTTCTCATGGCAAACCACATGGCTAAGATAGGTTTTGTAACTACTCTGTGCAATTATTACATCTCTTTGCTAAAGGAATTTAACAATGAGACAGTCTCATATATTGAAACAGGAACTCTTCGTGGAGCAGGACTTTTAATCATAAGGGGTATTTTTTGGAACTACTCAGATGCCAGTCTCAAGTTTGCAGAGAGTGTTGGATTGTCAGGTTACTTGGAGTATATGATGAATGATCTTGATGCTATTGATAAAGGTGTTATAGCTGGGTCCATTGATACAGAGGTTGGTATATTAAAAGAGTGTTTGTATGGTCTTTACTAGTTACAATATCAGTAAGGATTGCCAACTGTACATATGTGTTCTTTACCTTTTTTGACCACTAATCTCCTTTGCATTCTGCTATTTATGTAATTTTAGTACTGCATGGCAAAAGCTTAGAAAGAGAGATATGTATTTTTTTAATTAAAAACCATCTTTTTTAGAAATCGGTTTAAGTTAATGCTGAAAAAGGTTTCTGTTTAAATATTAAAATATGTCATTTTCTATCATTGGAAAACTTCTCCATTTCTCCACCTTATTTGTAATTAGGTATAAAGGCATTGAAATTGTATCTTTTCTCTTATTACATTCATTTCAGGAGGAGGGCACAAGCCTTGCCTTGAAATCGGCTATTGGTTGTGTTCACAACTGTGCCAAAGTTGATACTCTGAGGCCTATTTTTCATGAAATGAAGGTTGTGGACAGATTAAAGCCATATCTTCATACAGCAGAAACAGGCAAGTTTGTCATTGCATGCTTAGCACATACAGTATATTGGTATCATTATCATGCATTTATGTGGTGTTTGGTTTTTGCTAGAATATTGTTGATGATGACATTACAGTTCTTTTATATATATATATATATATATATATATATATATATATGGGTTTTATTTTATTTTATTTTATTTTATAGAGAACAAAGCAGTTGCCATCATGACGGAGGCATATATTATCAATGATGAGCAGAATGACATCCTGGCAACAGAAGATGGCATATTTGAATTTATCATAGATTTATTGAAACAAGCTTTGGAGAGTGATGACCACAGAGCAGAAGGGTTCTCTGCCTGGGAAATGGCCAAAGGACTGGGTGCCATGGCCAGAAATGACCAGAATAAGACACTGATTGCAGAGAAAGGGGCTATACCATTCTTGGCAGCCATGTTGGCGTCAGAAGATGAAGAAGAAGTTGAAGAAGCTTTGAGTACCCTCTGGAAACTGGGATTTGACCAAAATAACAAAAGAAAAATCCAGGTATGTGTTCCTTGTACTGATTGACCAAAATGACAATTGATAAGATTTCATGCATTATAGTTAAGAATTTTAGTTTTTACATGCAGTAAGCGACATCTTGTCTGGTGCTTAGTGATGTTGTGTTTACCTTAATCATTGTATATATATATATATATATATATATATATATATATATATATATATATATATATATATATATATATATATATATATATATATATAAAATTAGTCATCTTTCTGGGTTGTTTGGCATTGTGACAAGGATTGTTTTTATTTTTGTTTTTATTGTTAACAAAAGATAAAAGTTACAACATGTTTAAAAACTAAAAATTTGTTAACGTAGATTTGTTAAAATTTAATTTGTTAGAGCGAACTTTTTAAATCAATTTTTTCAAAAATATTTGCAAATGGTTGTTGTTGTTTAAAATTCTTAATGAAATGTTATGCAAGGTTATGGGAGGTTCAGACAAGTAATTTAGAAAGTGTATCCTTTTTAATTAAAGCTCACAATGCATTTAAACTTATCACCACATTACTTTGAAGACTGGTGTGTTTTAGAAGATTGTCTGATTGCTTCTTTATTTATCAGGAAGAACCTAATTGCTTTGAGAGAGTGAAAGGTTTAACAAAGCACAAAAATAGTAGGATAACAAAGGCTGCAAATGGAGTGGTATGGATCCTGAGTCAAAACCAGCTTAGTTCAGAAGGTGGGAAATTAATGTTTCTTTTATTATTTTTTTATTTATTTTATTTTTATTTTTGTTTTACATCTGTCTTATTTGAGCAGAAAGATTATAGAAAATTTATTATTCATTTAACTGTATGGGATAGTTCTACATATAATATCAATATAATATTTTAGGTATGACCAGGTGTCAATACTGATACCCATTAATGTATTTGATAAAGATAATTACAAGAGCTCATTCTTATAGTTGGGTCTTTATATTCCAGATGTCTTGCAATCACAAGCCAGAACAGATAGTGCCAGCTTGAGAGAAAAGAGTGCTAGTACTGCAGCTGGGGGTAAAGCTGGGCATGTAATGATCAGCTACAACTGGGGAGACCAGAAAGTTTTACTGAAGGTGAGGAAAGATGTTCCTGCTGATATAATTGAATTAAACTGCAACTGATTCTGTAAAATGCACAAGATTAGATGGCAGCACAAGTACTTTTATGTAGCTCCTTATAATTTAAAAGTGATTTAAGATGTGATATTGATTACATTCTTTATTTTGTTGTATTTTTTGACATCTTCTTTATGCAGGTATCATTCATGAGTTTTGATGACAAATGGACAGAACTACAGAACTTTTTCAAACCTTTAATTCTATCACAACGCGATGCTAAATAAAAATATTTGAACTACTTTTTTTAAGCAATTAAGTTTAACATATTTAAATATATGAAATATGTATTGATTTTCATGAAGGTAAAGGATGAGCTGCGGAGGCGAGGCTTTAATATCTGGATGGATGTAGAGCAGATGGGAGGTTCCACACTCCAGGCCATGGCTGAGGCTGTGGAGAATGCTGCTGTAGTCTTGATATGTATGTCAGACAGGTACAAGGACAGCCCCAACTGCAGGACAGGTATGTGTGTTTGATTTTATCCAAAGAAAACAATAAGCCCTAAATCTTTTAGTTGGATTTCATGATATATTTTTACAGTAAATGAAGAATGAAATTTGTTTATATGTACATACTTTCAGTAACCAAATTGGTACAAAAATCATTTGGCAGTGTAACAAAAGTAATACTTTCATTTAGGATGAGTCGACCTTACTTGAAAGACCAATTTTTCCTGTGTTTGGTTGTACCCATGAAGGCCAAACCCGTTTGAATGAGAACACACCTGTAAATCCAGTATCAGATAGATGTTTCAGCACATTCAAAGTTTGCATTTGGTCTGTGGCTCATTACTGCCAAACAGAAAAGAATAAAATATTTTTCAAACATCTTTTCAGAGGCTGAATATAGCTTCAAATTAAACAAGGACATTGTCCCTTTAATGATGCAACGTAACTATAAACCAGATGGGTGGCTTGGAATGATTCTTGGCAGCAAACTGTTCTTTGACTTTAGTGGAAAATACAATTTTGAGTGTAAAGTTGATGAGCTGGCAAAAGAACTTGGCAACAGAGGGAAGACAGGGGGGATTGTACCAGTTATGACGGTAAGAGCAATTATATAAGTTATCATATACTTATTGTGGATAATCATTTAAATTAAAGCTACTGGTGCACCACCCCATTACAATGTGAATATATAATTCTGAGAATTGAGATTGAAATACTCAATATGCTTAACTGAGATAATACCTGGCAAAAAATTAGAAGTTTTTAGAACCAGTACTTAACCCCATAGATACCTGCACCCCATATACATGTATGTGATTCATTTCTTACTCACCCTAAAGGCCCAGAATTGTATATATTGGTATATTGGTATATTGGAAATGTTGGTGTTTTGCTCCTCTTTGAACAGTAATTCATAAAACATGGCCATGATGTAAGTTCAGATATGTTTGTTGGTTCTTTTTTGAGCTATTTTAGGGAATGTTTTAAGGTAAGAGGAGTAAGAAAAACATGATTTTATAGATTTATGTTTCAAAGACTAGAGACGAAATGGTGGTTTCTCACCCCCTTAAATATTGCAATAAATTTCAGATAACTTTAAAACTAAAAGATCATGCTGAATTTTTCTGAGTTCATAGATAACTCATATAACACCATTACAACAAATTTTCAAGCAGAAATATAAAAAAAAAAAATGCATTGTAACATGTGGTGTTTGATTTTCTCTCCAGCTATCAAATAAGAATTCAATTTTCATCACTCCACAATTCTAAATATTTAAATGGCTTTGCATTTATGAAGTCATCTTCATTTAACCTGAAGTATTGACTTTCCAAAAATGTATGGTTTGTACATGTTACAAATGATTTAGGGCCAAAAAACTCAGCTAAGCCCACTTCATATAAGTGCCTGTGCACATTCATTGGGCCCAGAGGAGGTTTATAGGTCAGCACTGTATGGTCTTAATGGGATTAAAAGATATCCTCATTGTTTTCTTCAGGAAACTGCAGCTCTGGCCCCAAGCTTTGGCTCTGGCAAAAAGAATCCATCCCACTGGAACAAAGAAGATGTTGCCCAATGGTTGGAGAAAAATAACTTGAACAGGTGAGGTTCCTTTTCTTGTTTTTATGTACAGACACAGATGTGTCTGTACATATTGCCATCACCTGCGTCTGTCGTCGCCGTCGCCGATGCCGATGCCGGCGCCGTGCACTTTCCTTGTAAACACGATAAGTGGAGGGCAGTTTTACTTTTTGGCTTTATATTTACAGAGCTGATGAATATTCATAAAATGCAGGTCAAGTTCGAAAATCAGCATGATCGGGCCATTATTGTATAAGTTATGCTGTTTTTTCACTTTTCAGCATATATGCAACCCTGTAAACACATTTTAAGGCAAACCGTTAGGCCTGTTGTCATGAAACTCACAGGAATAATCAATCTTACTAAAACGCAGGTCAAGTTCGAAAATCGGCATGATCGGGCTACTATTTTAGTAGTTATGCTGTTTTTTCATTTTTCAGCATATATGCAACACCGTAAACACAATATAAGAAAAACAGATGGGA